ATCCAAAGCTTTACAGGCCTTAGACTCCTGGGGTAGCTATCATTAGACAATTGCTGCTGGAAAGATGGGTTTAGCAAACAGTCAATTGTCCCATCAATGGCAAATCTAACGCTGTTTGGAGTCTTCAAGCAGTGTCCTTGAGCGGGACACCGAGATGTCTAACTTACTGTAAATCCCCCTGGATTACTGTGCAGATAAATGGCTCAAACGTAGTGTGCTCCATCATGTTCCGCACAGGGTTTACATTCAAAAGATGTATTCGAAAGGCCTCTCAGATATCTTCCTCTGCAACTTTTCAAGCAAACATAAAAGCAGACATGAAGCACACGCTGTAAAGCCCATCCCTCCACCGCCCAAGACACGGTGCTATCAAAGCCCGCAAAGTGGAAACACAAGAAATACCAAAGGACTGTAAACACACACAAAGACTCGCATCACAGGTCCAAAGCAGAACCCACAGCGGTAGCTGTTCTACACAAGCCGGAATAAGAAATGCATTTAAAAAACTCTATAAGCTGATATGAACACTATGCAAGCAGCAATGCTGTCCTCTAAAAAAGAATTTATAAGTTATGTTTTTGAAATATAAATATCCTCCAAGTGAAAATGTGCAAAGCATCAACTCATCATACGAAAAGCAAAAAAACAAAAAGCAGCACTGACAGCGTGACAGTTTATCGGAATATAATATGACTAAATGATGCTCTCAGAATAACCACAAACATTTGTGTGTGGTCACAAAGGGGGTGTCACACCGCCTCTTTCAGGAAATGTATTTTTGGATACCTCACGCATGGGTTTAATGTGCTTTGCTCAAATGTTGAGGATGAAGAAACACCTTCGCTTGGTGTAACATCCTCTCGGCTTGCTTTTTTTCATCCGTTACATTTCTTTGCTAAGAACAGGAAGGAAACTGCACGAATCGTGACGTGAAAGTTATTGCAACTGGAAATGCAGACTAATGAAAATGCTTGAAAGAGGTTAACAAACTATACTGCTGTAGCATGCCAATGTACGAATTTTATTGATTTCCGTGATGGGAAAATTCATCTTTTTCCCTTTTTTGCCACATCTCGTTTTTTAAAAAGTAGAATAGCCTGGAGCTGGCGGGGACTCAGTGTCTTCCTCGAAGAATGTCAAAGTGAACAGAAATCCAAAGAAGAACAGCGTGTGCTGAACCAGTGAAGGAGAAGAGGCTCACTGACATCTCACTGTTTGGATGACTAAAATTCACCTAAACATACAATTTTTTAAAAATGATTCAAAAAACTTAAACTGCCATATATCCCATACACAAGTGTAATATTTCAAGCCTTTTTATTGTTTATTTTTGACGATTTAGGCCTAAAAACGCATGAAAATCAGAAATCCGGTATCTCAAATTATTAGAGTTTGAGTAAATTAAATATTGTGAATGTCTCAGTCTAATTCAGCACTCATAACCAGTTAGTAATTAGTAATTACAAGTTAACTTGAAGCGAAACATGGGGTGAGAAAACCTGCAAAAGCAGCAGGGATGAGTATAGCCTCGAGAGGACCGCCGAATAAAGTTGATTCAAGAACTCGGAAGAGCTTTATGCCGAGCGGACTGAGGCTGGAGTCAGTGCATCAAGAGCCTCCATGAGGGAAATCTTCAGGAAAACAGCTGTAACTGTTACAAGTGAGGTGCTGTGTCATCTGGTCAACTGTGTCAGTCAGCGCAGCAAGCGTATACCGGGAGGTTTTAGAGCGCGTCATGCTTTCATCTGCTGAAGAACTTTATGGAGATCCTGATTTCCTTTTCCAGCAGGACTTGGCACCTGCCCAGAGAGCTAGTGCTCAACTGGCCAGCCAAGTCACATGACCCCAAACTTACAGAGAATGTATGAGGTTCAGGTTCAGGTGAGGTTCACGTTGGTACTTGACAGTACCTCACAGAAAAGCTATGAGGTACTGTAAAGCAGAACATAAGAAACACCAGAGCCAAAATATAGATGAGCTGAAGGACACTATCACAACAACCTGGATGGTATAACTCAAGTTGGACTTGAAACATCTTTTTTTTGATTGATTGATTTAACATTTAGAGATACTGGATTTTCACAAATAGTACATACAATAACAAAAAAAGTGATTTGCAACCATGTTAATAGAGCCTGACATATTTGTTACCTGATGTATCGTATCGGCCAATAGTAGCTATTTATCAGTCTATGTAACCATGTTATGAGTTTCAAAACTGCACACTGGAGGATAGTCTGCAACTTCTCAGTTAACAACACACAACAATCGATTGATGTAAACGAGTACATAAACACACATAAAAAAAACCAAACAAACAGAGGAATCCCCCCCACCCCAAAAAAACAGATGTTTTGATTTTTATATCAAAAGATCGATATCAGAGTTTAACACCGATATCAAATTTTTGATATCGGTATTAAAAAGGACAGGCTCTACAAGATACAAAAGAACAGTTAAGTAAAAGTGATACAAAAGATTGATACAAAAAAGGAAGGCACTGATAACTTGAGATTTACACACAATGGACAAAAAGTGAGGTACAGTGGTCCCTCGTTTATCGCAGGACTTACGTTCCAAAAATAACCAGCGATAGGTGAAATCCACGAAGTAGCCAACTTTATTTTTTACAATTATTATAGATGTGTGAAGGCTGTAAAACCCCTCACTACACACTTTATAAACTTTTCTCAGACAGGCATGAACATGTTCACACTTTTCTCTCTTGTTTAAACTCTCAAAGTTCAAACCTTCTAGAAAAATATGTCTTATATAAAATGAAACCAAACACACCCACGGTTGCCTTTGAGGGTGTAAAACGTTTTGGACATTGTTGTGTTTGTTGGGGAGAAAACTTACAAACATATAGTACAGCACTTCAGAGTCACACTGCTAGCGATTAAAGATTTATGTAAATTTGACAAGCTGAACACATTCTGCACTGTACAGGAGACAAGGCACAAGATTGATTGACAATGGTCTACAGCCAATCAGGACGCAGAACACTATGCGCTGTAAAGAAAAAAAACAAAAAAACATGGAAAAGTGCACCAAAAAAATAAGCGAAACAGCGAGGCCACGAAAGTTGAACCACGTTATAGCGAGGGATCACTGTAAACCTTTTGCTAAAAGTATGGCCAAGTAGGAAGTTTGTTGGCTAAAACAGTGTTCGGCTCATCTATAGTTTAATTGGGTCACTAATTGAGAGCTGGTAAATGGAGTAGTAACTGATAGCAGATGCATTCTTGAGACATTTTGGCCAGCCATGACTGATAAATGGTACAGTGAAAGTAGTCCAGTTTAAAGAAAGAGTTCAAATGTACACTTTTGAACATGAGGCACAGTGAAGATGAAGGGGTTCTTGAATCCATCTGACAGGGCTGTGGGTGTATGTCAGATGAAAAAGGTTGGTAACCACTGACACACACCATAGAGTGAGGCGTATGTGATGGAAAGACTGACACTAAAAATATTCTTCAAAACGCGGAAGCTGGTCAGCGAACCACAAAGCCCACATGCTTCCTTTTTCTGTTCAATCTAATTTGCTCAAACGAGCTCCAAGTTCATCTTAATCGTCAGAGCAAAATGTTTTTGATACCCTCTCTTGTCACCAGATAAATCATTTTGGAGCATCGCCTTGCTCCAGAAATTTTAAAACGTACCATTTTACACGCACGCCCATGACACAGTGCGCGCTCCTGTTCACGGCGTCTTGCTATTCCAGTCATCTCCAGGTGGCAGGAGGGCAGAAAAGAAGACTGCCTGCATTTATGTCAGCAGTGCCGGTTTCTGAGTAAAAAT